GCTCTGATATTTCTTAAAAAATTCTTCAAGAAATATTTTTTTTCTAAAAATCCGCAGGGACGGCTCCTCAAAAACATTTTTTTAAAAACCCACGATGATGGCTGTTCTTAATAAATTATTATTAAATTATTTTTTTCTTAAGAATCCTCTATGATGGCTCCTCAAAAAGTATTTTTTTTTTTTCAAAAGCCACGATGATGACTCTTCAAGAAATATTTTTTAAAAATTCAAAAAAATTAGTTTACAAATCCGCGATTGTGGATTAATTTCTAATTCTGCAATTTTTTCCCTGATGGTACCTAAAAAAATATTTCCAAATCCAAGACTAGTGCTTTGATAGTATTTCGAAAAACAGTTTTAAACATCAATAAATATAGGTCTGATATTTCTTAAAAAAAATCATTTAAACCGCTATTATGACTCTTCATAATGCATAAAATATTTTTAAAAATTTCTTTTTTGTTGCTAACCAAAGTCCTTAAAAATGCATGCATTTGCTTTAAAAGTCCCTAAAAAAGTGTTCAAAATTTCCAAGTATGCTTGCTTCAAAAGTTTAAAAAAAAAATGCTCAAGGATCCTCGTTTATTTGTTTAAAAAGCTTTACAGAATATTCTCAAAAAATCTTGTTTAGTTCTTTAAAGAGTCACTCTAAAATGTTATTTAAAAATCGATGTTTATTGTACTAAAATTGCTTTAAAAAATATTCTTAAAATATCCTTGCTTATTGCTCTAAAACGTCCCTCAAACGTAGCCTTAATAGTTCCCTCTAAAAATATTATTAAATAGGTCTATAAAATATTTAATAAAAATTCCAAATCGCGTACCTGATAATTCTTGAAAAGTATATTTACTTCTAGTATCTGATAGTCCTTCTGAAAATATTGTTTAAAATGTCCATGAAAATAGCTTAGTCCTTAAAAATATTCTTAAGAAGTTTACTGTTATACTCTGATGGTTTTTAAACATTTTTTATAAAAATCAAATTTATAAAGCTATAATAGTCCTTGAAAATATTATCAAAAATTCCACAATGTTTAGTTACATCAAAACCATTTCTATTTTTTTTTTCTTCATAACAAGAAACCACAAAATATCATTCACAAACAAAAACATCAACCAATACCGAAAATGAATCAGTATCACCACCACCAACACCCACCCACCCACTAGAATTCCACACACCTTACTTACCCACCAATCACTTGTCACCCACCCCTCCCACTTCTTTGCGAGCTTCGTGTTATACGCATAACACGAATTCATAATGATGGAAACAATAACAATGACAAAAACACAACCACAGTTATCCACTCCCCAGGACATATCCCCCATTTCAAAATTATTAAGGGTTATTCGCATATCATAAAGCCCTGCCATTAACATACTTACAAATGCCACCGAACACGTCACTCACAAGTGCCAACAACCCAAAAAAGAGCCACTTTGTTATTCAAAGGAAAAGTCCTTTGAAACACCTTCTTCAAGTTTCTAACCGTCAACACGTCGTTCAGCCAAATTTGAATGAGTTTGGGTATAACGACAACCTAAACAACTCTTTCTTTCAACCCTTTAGGCTTTTGGCCACACTGGAAAAAGAGCTTTTTCAAATACTGCCAGATGGCAGCGTCCAAAAGCCATTTATGATCCCAAATGAATATCAAAGATGGCGCTGTTATCGCTGTGACTTGCATTCGTTTTTTATTATTTTTTACAGTTTTTTGTCGGGGTGTCGTTGAAAAACGCTAAAAATAAAAGACTTCAAATTAAATAAAAAACGGGAGGGGAAAACACACACACACAACACTCTGACACATGTGGGGTCTGAGCATTCGTTCGTTTTTCACTCTGTGTTGTAAAGATAAAAGACGAAGTTTTCTCACACATGCTCACAAGCAGCCAGTCAGTCAGCCTCACATATCGTCGTTGTATTGTGGTCTCCACACAGTAGCTCGGGCATACACACTCGTACATATGTGTTGTTCTATCCCACCCACAATTTTGGTGGTATGGGCTATAGCTTTTTGGGGCCATTCTCTCTGAGTTGTAAGGGAAATGAACGAGAATTTTCGTTCTCACGCAAATGCCATGGAGTGTGGAATAAATGAACAGGCAAACAAAAGTGGGTGAATATACTTTTGGTTAGAAAACTCTTATTGAAGTTAATTAAGTTGACAGAAATCGAAATAGTCAGAAAATATTTGAAAGAATATATCTAGAATTGTATTTTAAATAATTAATTGTATTTCCAATGTATTTAAAAATATTTTTTGAAAGATAATAAAACAAGTTAAAGAGTATCAGCCGGTTTTGCCGACAGATGAATACTCTCAGCCAGTGTTCGATTATTTAAATATATTTTGACTTCTGTTATGATTATTCCAATTGTTGTCCCTCTGTGGAGCAGGTTCCAACGGAATGGGAATCACAAGTAGTCTCTAGAAGTATTCCATTTTCATACTTCATTACAAGAAAACCTAACAGTTATATAAAATCATAAATTCCTTATTCATCTCAGGTTTCTGCTTGAGAGAATTATTTAGATATAACAAGGTGTAAAGAATCGCTGACTTGTTTCGCACGTTATGAAAGATAAAATTATTGAAAATTGTGGGTGAGGTACCAGAAGGGGTTTACAGATATATCATCTTCAAAATAGATCTTGTGTTAGCAAAAATGTTTTTATGTCTGAAATTTTAGGAGAGTTGGATGCTTATTTCGCTTTGGCAGATAGCATGTAGCAAATTTTGGGGCAGATAGCAAAAGAAATGGTCCGATCCGATCCCAAGATCGGTTATAAAAATGATAGATCTTTATAACCGATCTTGGGTTAATGGAAATATTGAGATGTACCAAGTTTGGAATGGAATTGGATATTAATTACGCTTTTTATGAGCTTCATGAATATTCAAAATTTTGAACCTTTGTGTTCGTGGTACCCGAAGAAGTGGACCGATATATCCCATCTTCACAACAAATCTTGTGTTTGTAAAAATAATCGGATGTGTGAAATATAACAAGAGCCTGATGCTTATTTTGCATTTTATGACCTTCATGGATATTCAAAATGTTGAATCTTTGTAGGGAAGGGGCCAGAAGGAATGGTCCGATCTCTTCCGTTTTTATAACAGATTCTGTGTTAATGGCAATATTCAAATGTGCCAAGTCTAAATGGCAGCGGATGTTTATTTCGCGTTTTATGAGCTTAAAGGATATTCAAAATTTCGACCTTTTTAACATCAGATCTTGAGTTTATAAAAATATTGGGATGTGTGAAATTTTAAGGCAATCAGACTATCTACTACATGGTACATCATAATAGTATTGTCAAATTTAGATCAATCGGCAATATAGATCAATCGGCAATATTGTTCCACTTCTTCTTGTACCTCCACCATAGAAAGATAATATATCATTCGATTTTGTGTGAACTTTGCACGTCCCAATAATTTTTCCAATGCTAGGTAATGTGCTAAAATGGACAATATCGAATATGGACATGTATGTATGTTTGTTTGTTTGTAATTTACGTACTCGAAAACTGCTTCACAGATTTTCGTAAAAATTTCCAAGTATACTACAACATCGTCTGAAAGTAACATAAGCTATATAAATTGTTGGAATTCCACTTGGAACGGAAGATATAGCCTCGGAATCGGAGGTACCTCCCAAACATTTAGTTTTTGTATGTTCGATTCCAATGAAATTTGGATTGTGTGACAGGATTTGATTAGAAAAAAATTGTCAAATTATATTGAAATCGATTCAGATTTTGATATGGTTCCCAAATATATTTTCACCGATTTTATATATTTGATGCACCCAACGCGATATGTATGTCCGATTCCTATAAAATTCGACATGAGTGACTCAATTTGGCACAAAAATAAATTTGCTAAATAATATTGAAATTGGTGGAGGTTTGGGTATAGCTCCCATATATATTTCGGACGATTTCGTGTATGTTATGCGTCAAACACGATATGTATGTCCGATTCCAATGAAATTCAGAATGTGTGGCGGCATCTGGTTACAATGATAAATTTGACAAATGAATTATAAATCGGTTAAGAATATAGCTTCTCGGCCGTTTTCACATATTTGATGCAGCAAACACGGTATGTACCTCCAATTTCAATGAAATATGGAAGGTGTGACGGAATTTGGTCCACGAATAAATTTTGTCAAATTAATTGAAAACGGTTTAAACTGAGATATGATTTTTTTAAGAAACATTGACCTACAACGCCTTGTCAATGGTATTAGACTTACAGCAAAAAACTACACAACAATATAATTGAGAATACGATTATTACTGCTACCTCGAATTCTCTAATTGTAACAGAATTGCCACTCAACTTTAAAAGATTGTAGTCTACTGAACTGTTGGTATTTGTTATGAAATTAATAAATCCGAAGGACAAGCCCTACACGGAGGGACTAAATTTGGCATATTAAGCTTTTCTCATGGTCAGCTGTTCCTGGAAAGTTCACGCGTTGGTCAACCAAGCAATTTGCCTCATTCTTTTCAACAAATTCCAACGAATATTCGTATATAAAATTTTGAATGCATATAAAATCAAAAGCGTAGCGATGCGCATATAAAGTGAAGAAGGCAGTCGATATAGCCCAAATCTGATTCTTTCCCGATTAGCTGCACTCTTTCCCAATTCGCTGATGGATCTCCTCGTAATTTCTTAAAAAAATATGATTTTTTCGCACTATTTTATTATATGATTGGAAAATATTTTTTTCAGAAGTCCGCAATTTTTGCTTTCACAGTTCTGTACATAATTTATTAAAAATTCAAAACTATAGCTACTATACCACTATATACCTATTTTGGTATGTAATATTAACATTTTGCGAATTATAGGCGGTGGACTCACATAATATTCATTTATATTTTTATTATTATTTTTTTGTTTTATTCATTTTATTAAATTTTTTTATAATGTATATATTTTAACATAAAGCTTCAGATGAATTAAATAAAAGAGTATTATTAGTATAAAGCCATTCTAGAATCGTCTGATGTAAGATCCGTTATCAGCTACACTAGAGTCTATAGATCGGATGCTCCAAAATGTCTGAAACAAAGAAAAAGCAAATTAATGTATTTTTTTTAAACAGTGAATTATAAAATATTAATTTAATTAAAAATTCTAAAGTATATAATTTTTGTAAGAAATTAAAAATTTTTTTTTTGGATCTTTTTAATTATAAAAAGTTGATTTTGAACTGAAAATGTTGTAACATCTCAAAATTATAGCCTTTTAATATACCAATGTCGGGCCGTGCCTCCTCCTAATAAGAAGTTGATTTTGAACTAAAAATGTTGTAATATCCCAAAGTCATAGCCTTTTTATATACCCATGTCTGGCTGTCCACCGTCAAGTCATGGGGAAGTCATTTTAATATATACAGTTTGGGGTCGGGCATTTCTTTAAGTCGAAATGGAGACTTTCAAAGATACTTAAAAAAAAATATAAAAAAAAAAACTTAAAACTTAAATCGACTGCAAAATATATAAGCGACCTATATCTGAATTTTACAGATATACTTCGAGGTTGAATTTGGTCAAATGTGCTCAAATGCGTCTCATTTGGGCATACATTACGAATTTGGTGCACAATAAAACAAAATTCGGATTATGATATATGAGGAAGCTATACTAAAATCTATACCGATTTTCTACGAAAATTCATGTATGAACGGACTGACGAACATGAGTAAATCAACTCGGAATGTCATTCTATGAAGATTAACGAAAGAAATTATGGGTCCTTTCGGGTGACATAATACAGTCACACTCCGATTGTCAACAAAACATACAACATATTTTTACTAAGGTTCTCTAATTTAGAATTACTTATAAAATCCACCAACCCACTCTAATATATGCATATGATATCCACGAGGAGGTGTACTGAAGCTTATACATGTGAGTATTGGTATGAGACTGGGGTGTTCATCCCAAGAAGAAATCTAAAAAATACACAAATTTATATATTTTTGAGAGAGAATATTTAAGTTGAGTGTTGTGATTTTTGTCGGGTCCCCACTTTTACCACACAAAAAAAAACACCTCCCATTTGTTGTGGGTGGGTGGGAATTATTGGGTTGCCCGAATATATCGCATGCTCGTTTCGTTCTTTTTCAAAACATTTCCCTCATTCCCTGACAGTGCGTTGTGTACGGTGTGTCTGGTGATTGCTTTCATTTTTTTGAGTGTTACGTTGCACGCAAAATGGCAATTTGGTAATGGAAAACTTTACAATGGCAAATGGTACGAAAAAAATCTCGCTCTCGAAACAAAAAACAGAAAAAACGACAAATATTAACCCGACCAGTTGAAAATGGATCATTATTACAGTTAGAAAGCTGTCTGTCTAAAAGTTTTGTTCGCCAGGGCTGTGTGGTTGGTTGGCTTATGTCTCTTTGTGTTGGTCTGGAGTGTGTTTTTCTGTTACCGTCATTTATTGTTTCATTGTTTTGGTGTGTGCGGTGATTTCTTTTGTGGGTGGAATTTTTTGGCCAATTTTCGGTTATCGTTATTGCGGTCAGCTATATGAATTCTCTTTGAGGTGTAGTGTGTGGGTAAAGTTTTGTTAGGGAATATATTTTACATACACGCAAGCGAATGACGGGTTGTATGTTGTAGTTAAATGGGTATAAGTCTTTTTTTGTATGCCTTTCAAGTAGACGAAATAGATAAAAAAGAGTTGAGGGTATATAATACAATTTTTATACCCTCCACCCTACATGCATACATAGTATGGAGGGTATACCAGGTTCGTCATTCCCTTTGTAAAAGTATGTATATTCTTGATCAGCGTAAAATTCTAAGACCATTTTGTCCTGTCCGTCCATCCGTCTGTTGTAATCACGCTATAATCAAGCCGAATAAGGAGAGGAAGGTAAAAATTTACACATATCAGTCTTTTATCTATAAGCATGTCAAGTCGAAGCCGGGCTATATCGGTCCACGATATTGTATACCCCCGATAATCGGGGGTGCCATATTTTGCAATGGAATTTTCTGAAATTCTACACAAGGAGTTCTTTGTAAGTACTTTGCCTCTGGAAGAAAACTCTCTATATATATGGTGAGATAAAAAGAAAACTGCAACAAAGTCAAACGCTTTAATTTTTAATTTTTTTTTTAATTTTATTGAATGAAGCAAAAAATGTCGAAGATCGCATCAAATTTTAGAATAAGTATAGATTTGTTCGAATTGGTAACCTTCGGCACTAATTATGGCCTTCAAACGGCCATTGAAACCGTCACACGCTGCCCGAATGTTGCTCTGCGGAATTTTGGCCCATTCCCGGCGAAGCGCTTGCTTGAGGTTATCGGCAATTTGGTATTTTTTAGTGCCATCCTTGCTTTCCAAAATACTCCAGACACAATAGTCCAACGGATTGGTATCCAGAGATTTTGGTGGCCATTGTGCGCTGGAAATGAAGCAAGGAACCTCATTTTGTAACCATTGTTGGGTGGCGCGTGCTGAGTCCTATTGGAATATCCAAGGTCTGCGGCCAAAAAGTTGGCATGCCCAAGGCTTTAATATACCCTCCAGAATATTATCGCGAAAATATTCTGGAGGGTGTATTAAAGCCTTGGGTAGATTTACACGAGCTGTTATGGTGGCCCACACAATCACCATGGTCGGCGCTTGAGTTCTGTTGGCCAACCGGAGGTGCACATTTTCAGCTGACCTCTTTGGCAAGTAACCACGATCATTTTGTTTGTTTACAAACTGCTAGACAACGAATATTTTCTCATCGGAAAAAAACAAAATCGGCAGTCCACGACTTTCGACCAAGCGAAGCAACTTTTTAGCTCTTTTGAGTCTATTTTCTTTCTGTTGCGGTGTAAGTTCTTGCACTTTTTGGAATTTTAATGGCTTTACCCCGAGCTCATTTTTCAATATTTGCCAAATGGAATATTGCTATATGTTCAGTTCACGTGTCATTTTTCGGCCACTGCGACACCGGTTTCGATCAAGTCGCTTCTTTACTTTTCGAACCATTTCCGCTGATGTTGCTGTTTTCTTCCGTCCACTTTCTTGACGTCGGGATACGCTACCAGTATTCCGGTTAAAAATTTATTCACATTTAAATGCTGGAGTGCTCTAACGATAGCCACTTGTGGCTTTCCAGCCAAATATAAGCGGCAGTATTCACCGGACTTTCGTATTCAAAGTTCGTAATGGGTACTTCAACCTTTCTACGCGGGTCCACGTCTTCCTATAGTTCCTATATAACGATACTTGGCATTTTGATGACTTCAGCGACATTATTATCGGAATTAAAGCTAATTGTTATTTAAAGTTATTTTTTATGGCCCACATGTCATGGTTTTCATTTGAGTGGTATTTTTCGACGGATTTCTTTTTTGAAATTTTTCAAGTTTCTTCCTCATGGTGGATGGCATAAAAATTTCGGCCCAACTGAACTAAGCTTCTTTTATACTTGTTGATAGATAACTAAGTTCAAAAAGCTCCTGAAGGGGAAGAAGAATTTTAAATGAAATAGATTTCTAAAATAATCTTGGGAATATCATTGTTAACGAGGTGACATATAATTTTTTGACTTCCTGAAAAGTTTACTTTGGATTAAAATTAGAGTTAATTTTTAAGTTAAACTAATTTATTTAAACAAATATTACCTATTTTTACAAAAAATATTAAGAATTAAGATTTTTTTTGAGTTGCTGAAAACTCTTCACAGCTGCCCATTCTCGACAGAATTTTAGAATTTTTAGACCACACACATTATGGTTGATTTTTGTCCAAAATGCAACAATACACCTTTTGAGAAAAGGAGAAAATCTTCAAACTAAATTGACGACATAATTACTGCTCTTAATAAAGACAGTTCTCCTGCACTCAACCACCCGCAATCGTTTTGCAAGCGTAAAATTTATCAATGGACAGTTTGAGGTGTTAACTGCAACAAAAGAACAACAGGCGACAGTTTTGTGACATTGTGGTCATAACAACTGTGCATTTGCTAATTCGTCCAGGAAATTATTGTTTCCTGAAGTGACTCTTGAAAAAAATTGTTTTGTTTAGTTTGTTATTCTTTTGTCTTATATGCTATGCTTTGAAATTTACGAAAAGAGATTCCAAATTGCATGTTATATTGAAGTATTCAGGGTGGCCAGTTTTGTGAAGGCTCACACCCTTCATCTCGTACTGGTTTCACAGAAATCAGTCTTAAGAATTGCTTGGGTGAATTAAATTGTAAACTCTAAGCCGATTTTGAAAGAAGAGAACGTCCTTCAGTTATATATCTGCATTGGAAACTAAAACCAGACACTATTTTGAGACTGCGATGATATTGGCCTAAACTAAAATAGCGACTGGATATAACAAATCTAAGCAAAGAAATTCGACAATATTGCAAAATAAAAATGCGGGGAAATAAAAAAACGAGATCGGAAATTATAACCCTTAAGCGAGTCAATAAAGTAATTTTTTGGTCTTTTTTATTTAAAATATGGATAAAAATTTATTTTAAACGGGATCGAAATAAGAAAGACTATGCTACAAAATGATTTATCGTGAAGTTCTACTAAAGGTCATAGAAGACATTAAAAGTATAAGACTTACCTAAACGGAATTAATATACATTAAAAACACATTTAAGTACTTTTTTGAGTTTGTGTAAAAATCTCCAATAAAGCAACATACCTTACAAAAATGTTAGCCCTTTTTTTCAAATTTGATTGAAAATTGTGGAAAAAGCTTTCAAAATACCGGGATGTACCATAACATACAGACCAAAACAATTAGGGGACCTGTGGCAAATATTTTCTACAGGGAGAGAAAAGACCTGTCAAGAACCCTAAAATGCAAAGTTTCAGCTGATTTGGTTGGGAATTGTGGCAGAAACCGTCAAAATGCCGAAAATCTGGAGGTACCATTATATGGAGGCTGTACTTAAATCACGATTATAATCATCCTGAATATAATATAAAACTCGTCTTATAATTGTATTCTGATCAGGAATATATATACTTTTTGGGGTCTCCGACGAAAAGACTCTATACCTAAAAGGAGAATCCTTATCAAAAAATTTC